GTCTCAGCACGACCGTGTATTTGCCTGTTTACTCGTAAACGACAAACTTTAAACGAAAACTTCTGTTGTTGTTTGAGATCAGCATCGGATTTAGCGTCGAACGATATATGATACTTGTACTTGGAAGTAGAAAGGAGGAGAAAGTTTTGTTTAGACTTTAGGAATGAGGGAGCACGAGTACGATGCCAGCACTAGAGTTTAAAACATTTTTTATTACATTCTTACTTTTGCTTCTTTGTCTATTTCTTTCATGAATTTTCTCTCAGTCAAAATTTACATATATATATATGTTACAGGCTATATTAAAATTCAGGCAGATTTTAAATCAGCCTAGGCTAACTTAAAATTTTAGTATAGCTTAGGCTATGTTAAAATTCAGATGTCTGCATAGCTCGATTTTAAGTTAGCCTAGGCCAATTTAAAATCTGGCTAGGCTATATTAAAATCAAATTAGCCTAGGCCTAATTAAAATCGAGCAATGAAACATGGATTTATGACAAAGAATAAAGTGAGTGCAATAAAAAATTATGCCGCTTAATGATCTGATGTAGAAAGACATGGCGCCACTCGCTAATCTTAATAGAAGTATATTTGACGTATTTCTACTTTATACACAAATAATTTTGCTTAGTTCATGTTATCGTTTTGAATAACTTAAATTGTTCAAAGATAATAGAGGAAATAGGCTTTATTCATAAATCACGACGGCAAATTTAAGAGATACTATCTGTTCTATGAATGAATTATAGGATAGTGCAAAAGAAAGAGACGTTCTCAGCTCGTTATGTTTAAATTAAAAACAAAGTATAACGCTTTGTTGATTACGTTAAAAATATAGACTCCTAACTTAAGTTGACCATATTCAGTATACTGAAAAATAAAAGGACAAATACTTTTTGTTAGTTGGTAAAATACATAATAAAGTAGTAGTTTTTTTATTTTTCGTTTTTGTAAGTTTTGAATACAACCATTATAATAGTATGAAGTTGAGTTTTATTACGAAAAAAAGGAAAACGTTGCAAAAAAAATGTTTCTGTTTAACAAGCGTTATCATTAGAAAATGAAGTATTCAGTAATGTCAATTACAAGAAAGAGAACGCAAACGATATTAGCATATTTACGTCTAGCTCTTACTCTCTCAGCTATGTATAATACTGCTCCAGTAATTCCTGCTATTTCATATTTTTACAATTTCCACGTTTTGAATGACATTTTGTGGAACAAAACACGTCTTTTTTTTTACATGTACAATGTTTTGTATCACATTGACCCTTACAATCACAAGTAGCACCATTCACCGCCCCACGAACAAATAATTTACATGCTTCGATAAATGTTATTCCATCCAGATTATTAATGTCTATAGATTTTAATTGAGATGGACATGAAGACCTCAAATCAACAAGTGATTCTATTGTGTACCAATTTTGTATTTCACCAAACTGGCAAGCCAATCGAAATCCAACATCGTCACCTTTTTTTTCTTTTGCAATAATCAAGCATGGAAGTAATTTGGCATCGGTATTTGTACGATCAACAGAATGTATTGGAATACTAACGCAATCACGTAATTTGAACTGTTCGGCTAAATTATTGAGATGTTCGTCGTACTTTTTTCTTTTTTTGTTCGCTGTATCCAAATAATTTTCTTCAGCTTGTTTACGAACTAGAGTATGTCGAGGTGAGAAAATATTAAAAACGTCATTAGTCGAAGATGGAACATCGCAGGTAGATGGTATGGGTGATTTAGATAACATAGCTAATAAATCGGCAACTGGTATTAATGATTGACTGGTATTACGGATAGATGAAATGGAATTGATGGTTTTGATTGAAGTTCAGGAATAACATTTGACGGGACAACAACCGAAGAAAGCGGATCAATAAAAACAACTAGATCGTCGAGGAGCATTTCAGCACTTGTTTTTGGATTAGTTTCAACCGGTAAATTAGGTGGAATTAATGAATCGATATTTAAATTAAATATTGGGCTAGATGGCAATCGTGGTGGAAAAGAAGCAGTAGTTGGTGAATCAAACGACATTAAATTATTCGACAATAAATCATCAGATGACGGATTATCAATAACGTGGGATGAGAACGATAAGTCAATAAGCGACTTTGAAATAGTACTATTTTTCGGATTATCAAATAATGGATCAACAACAACAATATTTTTGCTGGTAACTGAATTTAATTGATTCGTAACATCAACTTCATCTTGTAAATCTTCATTTTCTTCAACAGGTGTTGGTAGTTGAACTTC